AAAAAAAGCTTAAATGGGGCAAATGCTTAAATACATTTAATCTTTATGTATATTTATATTCATTCATTTAACCTTTATTTAGACAGTAAATCCCATTGAGTCTCAAGGACTCATTTACAAGAAAGACCATATATATATATATAAAACTCTGATTTGGAAAAAGAAATGCTTAAATGGGGCAAATGCTTAAATACATTTAATGCTTATGTTTGTATATAAATGTATATATAAAGTGTTGTATTGAAAACCTTATTAACATGTTCTCTGTCTTCTGTTCCTGTCATAGTCCACAGTGGGGCATTCTGCTTCTTTCTGTCTTAATATTCCTGCTTTTGTTGACCCCTGCCCACCTCTTTTCTTCTGTCTCTTTATAATTAATATAATCAACTTTCACTTTTTTCTGCATTTGCTTGCCAGTAAATGTATATGCAGAAGTGAGCATTAAAATCTCTGCCGTTCATTTTGTGATAATAAAGATAGTAGCTTTCTTTGGATATTTTATACTGTTTATTTATAAGACATACAAAGTGTTCATCATGCAGACGTGATAATAAGAGAAATAAACGTGCTCATATTGTTCGAACCATTCGTTCATTTTTAATTCCATGAACATGACAGAACAATGTTTACTAAGGCTTCTGCATATATATATATTTGATTCCTTGCTTCTGCAAACATATATTTGTGTATGTGTTTGTCTTTCAGATGTGGTTTATCAGTTGCCAACTCTCAAGCTGTCTTCCTCCGTTGATGAGGAGAATCAGGAGGTTTCCTTCTCGTGCTTTGCCAAAGATTTTTCACCAAATAAACATGAGTTCAGATGGCTGAAAAATAATGGGGAAGTGACCGGCAAGATAGATGAAATCAATATGCCATCTGAAGGAAGAAACAACAATGGAACGATGCTGTACAGCGCAGCAAGTCTGCTCACCATAAATAAAGACGAAATGATTCCGACTGATGACGTTATGTGCGTGTTCAAGGGGAAAGGAAAAAACACTGTGGTATTTAAGAATGAAACTGTGAAAATCCAAGATTGTTCTTCCAGTAAGTATCACGTTTGTAAATGTATTTTATATTTGGTGTTTTGCAACCAGTCGTTTCATTCTTATCCCCCGTTTTGTCTTCCAGGAAGTGATGGATGCACCATACCAGATGTGGAAATAGTTATCATAGAACCCACAAACCAGGACATGTTTATAAACCGGGTGGGGAAATTAACATGCCGAGTCACGGTGCACAGGGGCAAATTTGAAAAGGTGGTTTGGGAGGATGAGAAAAATAAGGAACTGGTGGCTACTCGTAAAAATGGAGGAAAAATACACGAGGTTATACTCGACATCACCTATGATGAATGGGTGAAGAGAGATGTGCTCCACTGCGCCGTTTCTCACGAAAACTTTTTAGAGCCACTTAAGAGAAGCTATAAACGCAACGGTGGTAAGAAACAGTTCAGCTCTAATTCATTGTTTCTTTGTTCTTGTTGTGTCTCCAAACACCTTATGAGAGTCTTCTTCAGTGTTTTGTCTCAGAGTTTAACTGTTCTCACCTTCTTGCAGGAGCACCTCTTCAGCGTCCTTCAGTGTTTATGATGCCTCCTGTAGAGCAAACTAGAAACAAAGTGGTGACCCTGACTTGCTTTGTGAAAGGCTTCCATCCTCATGAGGTTTATGTGGCTTGGCTTGTGGATGATCTGAACGCAAACTCAAAGTACGAGTTCAGCACCACAAACCCTGTTAAAAACAATGGAACGTATTACGTTTACAGCCAGCTGACCATCCCGCTGCAGGACTGGAAACAGCCCGATGTGGCTTACAGCTGTGTTATCTACCATGAATCCATAGCTAGCCCCAGTGCAGTCGTTAGATCCATTGGATACAGAAGCTTCGAAAACAACAACCTGGTCAACCTCAACATCCCTAATACGTGCAAGACCCAGTAGATCTGTGTCACTGCGTCTTCTGTTCTTTGTTGTTTGTTGCTTGTGATATGACATTGTGTGTTTTAATGCAAATTAAAAATCGAAATTAAAAAAACTCCACTTGGTAGTTGTGTTGATGTTTGTCGCTTGCAGTTTGTCTTTACTTGACCGGTGTTTTAGTTCTATGTCCGTGTTGAGCTGCTTATTTAGGGTTCAGAGACTCACATTCACTGCTGCACCATCAATATGATTTAAACCACTATCACATGTTCATTGCATTTGCAGATAGGAAGCTATCTGTCTGAACTGTCTTTGTGTGCCTGTGTTTTTCTCCTGGGTTTTGCTCCCCGCCAAGACTTTTTTAACTCTAGCTCTGGTTTCTCCCTATAAAAACCATGAAATTATTTATTCACAAGTCAAGTCTCACGAGCCACACTGACGTTATAGTCTTTCATAGGCAAGTCAGAATCACTATAGGACCAAGTCTGAAATAAAAATCGGTAACACTTCGCAATAAGGTACACAAAATGTGATTAACTGCTAGGGAACGCCTCAGGAATGAATCAGGAACCAATCAGGAGCTAATAGATATTTAACCAGTACTTAGTGGGGAACACACAGCCAAGCCTTTTTAGGGGACTACTGGTTAGTTACCTGGGAAACGAAGAGGAACTAATCAGAAACTAATGGGTAGTTGCCATGGAAACCAAAGATGAACGAATCGGAAGCTAATGGGTAGTTAACCAGTACTTACTGGGGAACACACAGCCGAGCCTTATTAGGGGACTACTGATTAGTTCCCTTGTAAACGAAGAGGAACTAATCAAGAACTAATGGGTAGTTACCAAGGAAACCAAAGAGGAACGAATCAGGAGCTAATGGGTAATAAAATCAGTAATCACTAGGAAACAGGTTTTTGACAATTCCAAGCTGTGACCTCAGTGGTGCAGGGTTTACTCAGAACCCACATGGAGAATTTATACTGTTTCTGTTGTAACAAACCAGTAGTCCCATAATAAAGCTTGGCTGTGTGTTCCCCAGTAAGTACTGTTTAACCACCCATTAGCTCCTGATTTGTTCCTTAGGCATTCCCTAGCAAATTTTGTGCACCTTAAAGTAAAGTGTTCCCTAAAAATCTAATAATTTAAAGCGTGCAAAACTGAAGGGACTCTCGTGCATAGAATATATAACTTAATTTGAGATAAACTCTTAATTTATCTAAGAAAATGTATAAAAAGCAAGTTTGTTTTCTAACAAGCTGAGTGTAAAATATCATTAGACTTAATGGATTTATTATTGTGCTACAAGCAGAGTTCCTGTTTGAAAGTACAAGCTACAGCTCCATGGAGACCGAGCAGGATAACATGGCGACAACAGGGCTCACCTTCATCATCCTCTTCCTCATCTCTCTGCTCTTCACTATAGGAAGCGTCACTTTGAAGGTAACTGCGTGATTCAAAGACACAATTATATGTTTTAAAGTGTGTGTCGTCAAACAGCACTGAGAATTCAGAGAGAAGCTGTAAAATTACAGAAATGGTCAATTTGTTTCTTTGCTGGTGGAGAAAATTTGCATAATACAAATAAAACATTTAGTATAAATCAAATGGCTTAATAAACTACAAGTTGTTTTCAGGGTTTGACCAAAATAGCTATTACTCCAATGCTTCACTACATGAGATAACTTTCTTTAAAATGCTGATATATCATGAGTAATCATTTTAATCACATCTGACATCATCAGATTATTCACGATGAAGAATCCGCTGCGTGTTAAAGCTGTAGCTTCTGGGACTGGGCCCACGTTCAACTCAATTAATAAAAATACATAAACACCTAAAAAAAATACTAAATATCAGTATTTAAAACTCAATTAGAGCTTTTATGAATAAGTTGAAAGAAAAAAATCCCGATTCTCAAAACAGTTTTTACACTTTTTATCAGATTTTTGCTATTTAGTTAAACCACTGTATTATTAAGTGAGCTCCTGAGGAGGAATTAAAAAAGTAAAATGTTTAATTTAAAGTATCTGGTGTGTACCAGACGACAAAAAGCTTCTAAATTACACCAGAAATGCTTCTAGTGTGCACAAGAACCTTGATGAATCTTTTAATTTATTTTATTTTTTTCTATCTTTGGTGTCCAATATTAGGGTTCCTTTAAATAAAATGAAATAAATAAGATAAAATAGTTGAAGCAGCTTTTAGCATTTTGTACACATCTGACCGCTTTTATGAAACATCTGGAAACCGAGTAGGTCTGCAAATGTTACTTAATCTTTAACAGAATAGTTTAACTACTAATCAGAATTGTCAAACAGTATTTGTAGATTAAATAAATCAACTTATTTCCACAAATCTAACAGATTTTAAGTAGAAAACATGCATTATATTCATAACATTGACATACAGCATGGTTTACTGTACCTAATTAAATCTAATTAATATCCCCACCAGTGTACAGATGACAATATCACACAACATTAATACAAATTATACATATATTGATTAAAAGTGTGACAACATACTTTATTTATTGGGGTTTTTTTTTTAATCTCCATAAATGTAACACCGCAATTATTAACCATTTAATAATGAGAGAATACTGTTTAAATAACATTTCAGGTGTCTGTCTTGTGAACGAGGTGAATAAACACAATAACTGTGTTACGTTATTAGATTCTTTAGTATTTATTGTAAAACCTAAAATAATAATCACATTATCAGTAAGAATAATTTTAACAGATTTATGGCCAAAACAACGATAAAGCTTATTTAAAAAAAATTGACTTTTCTAGGAAGACTTGGATAATATTTGGATGTTTTGCATTGTTTTATATCCGTGTAAACCATTTCATTTAATAAATAACATTTCTTATTGCATGCAGTGTTGGCATCTTCATGAACACTAATCTTAGTTTATAATCTAAACTTTCATGTTCCTACTAATCGTAAAATTAATTTTGCATCCACCACATTTAAACAATTTGTGTGTTCTTATAATTTATATGAAATCTCAACAGCCTTTTTTTTTTATCTCTTTTCAGATCAAATAAAAGAAGAGGACACTTTCTGTGAAAATTAACACTTTGAAAATATATTACAAAACGTTTTCTATACTCAGTCTATTCTACATATAATCATATTTGTCATTTTTTTATTCATTTTATTCTATAAATGTAGATTTATCTTTAAATAAATGTTTAAATGCTACTGTAGTTTTTGAGACTGTTAAATAAAAGCTCATACAGTTCATTTCATGTAACCATTTGTGTTTTATGTTCCTTAATGTTCTCAGCAGCACCTGGACCCAACAGCCCGTGTCCCTCTCAGTATGGAAATTAAAACACCTCACAGTCAGTTACATTTTTCAGTCTAGTATTACTGAACTTTAAAAGTCAAAATCTTTGACAAAGTCATGAGACGAAGCATTTGTGTTTCATTCTGTAAGCAGACCTGAGATATTTAAATGTTTTTCTCTGTTTCTCTTGCTGGTATAACCCCACCTCACAGCTGCCGCCTGCGACGCTCCACTGGCCTTCTTTCACTTCTGTTTCTCTGTCCTTTTTTTGGCCCGGGGGGGCGGTTACGCAAAGCTTCCTCTTGTTGCATGAACTGATCGTTCTGCTCTATCAGGCTCAACATCTGTGCAACGGACTCTTTGCCCCATTTTTGCATGACAGCTCTGCCATGTAGCATTAATAAAAACATCTAAAATTCATACTTGGTGCTTAGTTACTGATTAAGCCCTGAAGTTATGTGTTTAAAATGAATCTAAGCTAGCAGTTAAAGTGAATCGTGTAAAGACATATCACCTCTCCTCTGCACAGCTGTGCGGATTGTCTCCCCAAACATCACCTTGTACCCAGTCTGGGAAGGTGACCTCTCACAAGTTAGACTCATCTGCACTCTGAGCAGCTACTTTCCCAAAACGCTGACCGTGGACTGGGAACAGAACCACCAGCCTCTAGAAGGCATCAAACCCACAAAAAGAGCTCTACAGAGTGCAAACGGAGAGGAGACGACTTACACGCTAACCACTGAGATCGAACCAAAGATGGAAGAGTGGAAGAAAGGATCAGATTTTACCTGCAAATGTGTTCACAGCAAAACTGAAATTAAAAAAACTATAAGTATTTGTAAAAGTAAGTATAATTACTCTTACTGATCACATACAACTTCTTCTTGTACATTAATACTTTATTTTCCTCCTGTAGTCCATGGAAGCAATGCTCCTTCCATTCATATGGAGATTCCCACCTTTAAAACTGTGATGACAAAGTCCACAGTGAAGGCAACATGTTCCATCCGTACAGTGTTTGACGCCAAGCTGCTCTGGTTAATGGATGAGAAACCTCCATCTGATGATAAAGTCAGCTCAGTGTCAAACGCTACATTTTTACTCAGTGAGTTGACGGTCCCATCGAGCACCTGGAAGAACGTGAAGACTCTGAAATGTAAAGCTGAGCATCGCTGCTTCTCTGCTGAAAACACTGTCCAGGTTTCAGGTAAGAGGAGAGATTGTTAGACAAGCAGGGGTAGTTAAATACAGTACGGGTCGATTTGGAGAATCAGAACACCAAGAACTAACATCAAAGAGTCATAAAGCAGAATTGTCATATTTATTATTATTATTATTATTGTTATTAGACCTTTATTAATACAGGTTAGTTCCCATTCGGTCTTGAAGACTCATTTACAAGAGTGTCTTGTACAGGCAGATGAGAGCAAAAGAACACAAGGGTGGAGGAAGCCAAAACAAATCATGTCTCACACCATGTTTTGGCCAGGAAACAGTGTAAAAGGTGCACACACACACAAAAAAAAAAGAAAGACCTTGCAACATAAAACAGCAACGACATCATAATACATTTATGCATAGAGGTCAACAAAGGTGGTGCGTTGTCCATGGACACTTCAGAAAGTTCCAAAGTTCTGATAAGATGAAACAGTATCTATCAGCATCATGCTTCTGATAATGCCACAGATGTCCTCGGAAGGGGGTGGGGGCAGGCAAATCTTCAAGTTTACATATCCTCCAGGAGCAATTTGATATAAGTTGGCCTGTCCAAGGCCAGGAGGGAGACCAAATTCAGATAAACAACATGGCAGGCAGACTCTGTTTTCTGTCTGCCTTCAAGTTCTGCTGGTATACTCAATGGCAAATTCAAACAGCTAGATTAGGGGATATTCTGCCCGGTCTGTGCTCATTAGCTTTTTCCAAGGTCGAATCCTTCATGCCGGCGAGTTCCAGGAGCCACTAGTGGCCTACACTTCTCAGAAATTGCATCCAGCTTGTGGTTTAGCTCGTTAAAAATATGAGTTTGAGCACTCAAAGCACGGATTTATCCTTCACATAAGGCTGGCAGCTTTACCAAGACCAAAACTGCTGCCGATGTCTTCCTGATTTGTTGAAATCCTAGGTATCAGCTGATTCCAAAAAGCAGAAACCCTGTTATCATGATTACAATAATGTACACACCTTTTACATCCTCCACGGACAGCACAGATAGGCACATCATCTTCCACTGCCCCCAGAAATCCATGACATACCCAGCTGCGTGGGTCCCTTCAGGGCATGAGGGCTCTCCAGCACCCTGTTGTCTGGTGGAAATTTTTTTTTTATCAATTGTATTGAGAGACAAGCTGACCAAATCCATAATTATTTTTGATTCAGAAGATGTGTAAAGAGAGGTTCTGAGGTTGACAGGATGAGAGAGCAAAAAAAGCAGGAGGGAAGGGAGAGGGTGAGACTGGCCGTCTTTGTCGAGAGCAAAAGAGTGAATGTTGCCTGCTGACTTAAGATCGTTATGTTGAGAGACATTGAGAGAGCTCATAAGATGTGTTAGCCCATAAACTCTGCTACAACTGTGGTTATCAACTAGTGGCCCATGGGCCTTTTTGGGTTTTATTGGAGGGGGCCTTTCTGGCCAGTAGGATGACATTAAAATCTAAAAAAATCTAATGATTTTTAACATTTATTGATAAATTTACAATTTAAGACAAAAGAAAATACCAGATTCTTGTAAAAAAAAAAAAGCGTAATATACTTATGGTTTTACCTTTTTTTAAATAAAAATAAATCAAGGAACTATGCAGACATATATGTTATTTTTTAATTGTGGAAAAAATAAGTATTCTGATTTGAAGAAATACAGTTAAAGTGAGCATGTTTTACTCCTTATATTGGTTCTAGGATTAACATATTTTAAAATAAATGACAGGGAAGCTGCTAAAACTAGCCATTTTTTGTTGTTGGTATAACAACCTATAAAATTTAGTTTTATGTTCATTTTGGTCAAAGCTTGAAAGAAGCACCAAAGAGTTGAATGTGGTTCCAAAGCCACAGGTTGAGGACCCCTGACCTAAAGTGTCAGGATTTGGTGTGTTAGGTGAGATGAACCCAGTGTGCAGGCAGGACTCTGAGACACAAGGAGTAAAAATAAATAAAACACTTTAATGGATACAATATAAAGATGATGACGTGGCAGCTTACTCACAAACTCGGGAACATGTAGGAAACATTCGGGAGATTCAGGGACTCAGGAAAACCAAACGATCATAGATGTTTACAAGAGGATCTCAAGACGATGGCCCGACAACGAGTGACACAAAGACACAGACTTATATACGTGCACACATAGAGTGACAACCACAAACACCTGGATTACACGAGGGTAGAAATAATCAAGGCAATTAACAGGAAGACCAGGGAGTGTAAGGATGGGGACCGGCCACCACCAGAGGGCACCATCCTTACACTAAAGTATGTGTTTGGGATGACTCTCAGCTACTGTCACACCAGATTATAGCTCATTCTCTGTAAACTTTACTGGGTTATAGCCATTTTTTGTGTTTGATAATGCCATTAGCTGAAGCAGCCATCTTGAATGGCATTGACTCCAAAGGATAATCAGTTATAGATTAATGTTCAGTCTTTACATTTTGAGACTTTTAATAAAATGCAGAGGCTCATGAGGTATTTTGCTGTCACTTCAGACAAACACAAACACACACACACATACACGTTGCTTCTCCTTCAGCAGTGGACGACATACCCAGGACTGGGTATTCGAAGATGAGACCAACACAATACATTTGCATGTACAGTTATGTTTCACTTTGTGTTGTCCTCATCCAGGTCCTGCAGGTACAACTCCACAGGTGGAGATCAGGAGATTTTTCCCAGATCTGCTGAAGGGGGACAGTGTTGTCCTTCAGTGTGACATCACACAGCTGTCCCCGCAGGACCTCTGCATCACATTTCAGGCCAAAGGAGTTGATATTCCTGGTATCCAATATGTTGATCTCCCTGAAGGCCCGGGCCCACATTCAGTCAGCAGAAGTTTGCTCGTTCCTGAAAAGTACTGGACTGATGACACAAGTTTCACCTGCTCAGTGAAACAAGGCTTCGCTAGCAATCCTGTCAAATCAAAGCCTATCAGCAATCTGTTTGGTGAGACTTGTCTCGGTGTGCTGTAAAATCTGACGTGGTTTGAAATTATTAATGAATGACATTATTGATTAAACATTTCATACTTTTGTCTTCCCATTATATTTAGTGGACCCCTCAGTGGAAGTTCTTCTGAACCCCAGTGAAGATCCAGGGCAACAAAGACTTTTGTGTTCTGGATGGGGCTTCAACCCTACAATTAAATGGTTAACAGATTCAAAGCCAACATCACCATCAACTAATGACAAGAGCATGGATAAAAATGGACGTGTTGCTGTAATAAGTCAACTTCAGGTTCCTCAGAAAGAGTGGAAAACAGGAAAGGTGGTCACCTGTGAGGTGTTGGACAGTACTTTGAATAAAATCACCAGAAAGAACATCAGCGTCTGCTCAGGTAAAACCAAATCTACTTAGGTCTCTACAACACTATGAGTATTAATAATAATAATAATAACAGAGAAACTGTCTTTTTATTGAGGAAAAAGTGGACATTTTTTTAAAATCAGGTTTTAGTGCAGTCATGCTGACAGGAGTTACAAAGCTTTTTAAACATGATGTCAAGCGCACCCTATCATTTTGGGTTTTTGAGATCAAAACATAAATGGATCCATTTTTATCTTTTTTTTTTTTTCCATCATTCAGTTCAAATTCAAAAATACTTCATTAATCCCAAAGGGAAATTAAGTGTTGTCGTAGCTTATCATCCTGGTTTCATTCAAGAGTTGTTATATGTTATATGCGGATAGCTGTGGGCAGGAAGGATCTCCTGTAGTGAAGATGAAGAATTGGCCACAGATACCAATTCGTCCACCTGGATCCAGCTTGCTGTCAGATCTGGCCGGCCTCTTGGTCCTCTTGGGCAGCAGGACTGCCCAAATGCCAGGCAGAATTCGTCCATGGGTGATGGTCACTCCTCCCAACAGTCTGCCGAGCTCCTTGTCGACACGGACAGACTGCTGAAGGTGCCGGGGGATGATCCCAGTACTCCTGTTGTCACAAGTCGAGTTTCCCACCAGCTCCAGGATTTTGGTAGTCAGGTACTCGAGCACAGCCGCCAGGTTGACGGGAATTCATCCACGGCGCCTTCTTTTCAACTCATTTGAGATTTGCCACTGTAGTTCAAGTATTTGGGCTTTTGGGATGTTAATCAGCTGCTCCTAGTTGTTAAAAAAAACACTTTGTTCCCATGGTTACACATCACAACAAATGCCCAAAAGTAGGAAGGTTTCAGTAAAAATCCTTCCAGCTGCACAGCATCCGATACCAGAGGAAATAATCATCCGAAAAAGCAATTTACATCCAGAAAAAAGAGGAATTAAAGTTTTCAAAAGCAATAACTTTGAATGAATGTAACAGAGCTACTCTAACATGCAGCCACACCGAGCGGCACAATTCTAGAACTCAATCATCGATCTGGCCCCATTTGTTTTAATTATGTCACCAATAAGTTTTGGTACAGCTTATATAATTAATAACTGAGAGGGAATTGTAAAAATGTATAAAAGTCTTCAGCCAAACCAGAAATGTTTTTCTTTGTAATTTCTGTTTTGTTATTATGGACTTGCTCTCCATCTAGTGGTAAAGCTTGATATTACAGCGTTCTGTTAAAATCATGTGGACAGAGATAATTTTTAAAAGATGGAAATATATAAAATTGTACAGAAGAGGCCTCATTTGATCAACTTGAGTTATGGAGTTTTGCATAATTTACACTATTACATTTTTTTAAATAAACACAGATACATCTTTATCAGCATGGTGGCACAACTGGTAGAGCTGCTGCCTCTCAGCAAGCAGGTCCTTGGTTCAAACCCCGGTCCAGGGGCCTTTCTGGGTGGAGTTTGCATGTTCTCTCCGTGCATGCGTGGGTTTTCTCCGGGTGCTCCAGTTTCCTCCCACAGACCAAAAACATGCATGTTAGGCTGATTGGTAACTCTAAATTGTCCCTAGGTGTGAATGAGAGAGTGAATGGTTGTTTGTCTCGTTTGTCTCTATGTGGCCCTGTGATGGACTTGCGACCCGTCCAGGGTGTACCCCGCCCCTCGCACAGTGATTGCTGGACATGGGCTCCAGCGACCCCCATGACCCAAAATGGAATAAGCGGGTAAAGATAATGGATGGATGGACATCTTTATCATGGGCAGCCCGGTGGCGCAACTGGTAGAGCTGCTGCCTCTCAGCGAGCAGGTCCTTGGTTCAAACCCTGGTCCAGGGGTCTTCTGGGTGGAGTTTGCATGTTCTCTCCGTGCATGCGTGGGTTTTCTCCGGGTTCTCCGGTTTCCTCCCACAGACCAAAAACATGCATGTTAGGCTGATTGGTAACTCTAAATTGTCCCTAGGTGTGAGTGAGAAAGTGAATGGTTGTTTGTCTCTATGTGTCCCTGTGATGGATTTGCAACCCGTCCAGGGTGTACCCTGCCCCTCGCACAGTGATTGCTGGACATGGGCACCAGCGACCCCCGTGACCCAAAATGGAATAAGCGGGTAAAGATAGTGGATGGATGGGCATCTTTATCATGGGCAGCACGGTGGTGCAGTTGGTAGAGCTGCTGCCTCTCAACGAGCAGGTCGCCCTAGTTCAAATCCCGGTCTGGGGGCCTTTCTGGGTGGAGTTTGTGTGTTCTCTCCGTGCATGTGTGGGTTTTCTCTGGATACTCCGGTTTCCTCCCACAGACCAAAAGCATGCATGTTAGACGGATTGGTAACTCTAAATTGTCTCTAGGTGTGAGTGAGAGAGTGAATGGTTGTTTGTCTTGTGTGTCCCTGTGATGGACTGGAGAGGGTGTCCCCCCACCTCTTGCACAGTGATGGCTGGACATAGGCACCAGTGACCCCCCATGACCTGTAAAAGGAAGAAGCCAGTAAAGATAATGGATGGATGGACATAGTTATCACATTTTATGTATTTTGAACACTCAGATTTATATCTATTACTTTATAAATGCAGAGTTTCCTCATTTTTCTCATATTGTGGTAACTTTTCAGTGACTCCAACATCGTCTCATAAAGTTGGTGTCTACGTCCAGGGCCCACCACTGGAGCAGCTTCACAACAAGAAACAGCTGACTGTTACATGTCTTCTTGTCGGCACTGATCTCAATGATTTCTCCATCACCTGGAAAGTCAGTGGTAACAAAGACTTACCCCGTAACGTGCATACGCAGCAGCCTGTGGGCCACAGCAACGGGACAGAGACTTTGCAGAGTTTCTTGAATGTGTCAGCGGAGGACTGGCACTCATATAAGAGAGTTTCCTGCAAGGGAAAGCATCGCTGCTCCAACAAGGGTTACGAAGACTATGCCAGCAAAAGTAGAGGTATTATTAAATGTCTTTTTTCTCTAGTTATTGTAATTATACCTCAAAACTGACTCCTGTTTTATTATTTGTGTGTTTTCAGACATGCATCCACCAGCCGTGAAGATCATCCGACCAACCGCTGCTGAGCTGTTTGTGTCTGACAGCCTCATGCTGACTTGCTTCATTACTGGGTTTTTCCCAAGCAACATCTTCGTGCACTGGGAAGAGAATGGCCAAAAACTCCCATCCTCACGTTACATAAACAGCCCTCCATGGAATGAACAAGGAAAAAAGTTGTATTCAATGAAAAGCAAACTAAACGTATCCAGAACAAAGGACAAAAAGTCAACTTACGCCTGTGTCGTCACACACGAATCATCTCAGACTCCAGTTAAAACCAGTATAAAGGATGTGTTTGGTGAGCTAACCATCACTTTTAGTGTTTTTTTTTTTATTATTATTATTGCCCATCATCTGTTCTGAATTAATGTAAACATCATTAATGACTCTTCCCCCAGCCTCAGTGACCCACAGCAAACCTGTAGCAGTCCTGCTCCAGGGCTCCAACGTGCTCGTGTGTCTGGTCTACGGCTTCAGCCCAGCAGCCATTAACATCACCTGGTTTCACGGAGCAAACAAACAACTGATGGATTACGACACAAGTGAGCCCAATTTAGGATTAGATGGAAAATTCAGCATCAGAAGCCACCTCAATCTGTCCCAAATCAACTCGTTACCTGGGATGGTTGTGACCTGCAGGGTGACTCATGAAAACATCACCCTGTCACTGAATCTGTCCACACCAGGTGAGATGCTCTTTTTGTTACTCATTAAAGAGTGACATGACACTGATTCTTTTTTCAAATAAAACGATCTTTGCTTCTTTCCTCAAAGCATCAAAGTCATTTTAACAATATTTAATAATAATAATAATAATAATACTTTATTTATAAAGCCCTTTAAAACAACCACAACTGCAACAAAGTGCTGTACACATAAAATCAAGAAAATGTAAACACATAAAAATAAAACTGTCATTAAAGCATTAAGATCAATAAAAACAGTGCAGAGCAAAATTCAGTGTGTGCTAAAAGCCAGGGAGTAAAAATGTGTTTTTAAAAGAGTTTTAAAACTGGACAGTGAAGGAGCTCGTCTGATGAGAAGAGGGAGATCACTCCACAGTTTTGGAGCAGCAACAGAAAAAGCTCTGTCCCCTCTGAGCCTCCGTTTGGACCTCGGCACCTCCAGGAGCAGCTGATCAGCTGATCTGAGGCACCGAGCAATGGGTGAAGCAGCTCAGAGAGAATGGATGGAGCAAGACCGTTTAAACTTTTGAAAACAAATAAAATAATCTTAAAATGAACTCTAAAATGAACAGGCAGCCAGTGGAGTGAAGCCAGAGTGGGGGTGATGTGCTCCCTCTTTAGAACTCCAGTTAGAAGCCGAGCAGCAGCGTTCTGGACCAACTGGAGGCGTCTGAGGGAGGACTGGCTGACTCCAAGGTAAAGAGCGTTGCAGTAAACCAGCTGAGAGGTGACGAAGGCATGGATTACTGTTTCCAGCTGCTGTTTTGTGAGGATGGACTTTACCTTAGCAGCTGTCTGAGGTGATAAAACTAGTCTTGACCACCGCTCCAATCTGGGAATCTAATTTAAAATTACTGTCCATTTTAAAACTCAAGTTAGAAACGGTTATCTTTACATGTGGTGCCAGAGGGCCCAGATCAACAGGGCAAGGTTCACAGGAACCACTAGGACCAAACACCATCACTTCTGTTTTCTTTTCATTGAAATTTAAGAAGTTTAAAGACACCCAGGCTTTGATGTCTTCAAGACACACCAGAAGTGGCCTAATTTAGTTATTCTTCTTTCAGACACAATGGAGAACTGTTATTTCTTTGATGCAATCAGGGATTCTGATGTGAGTCAAGACTCACTGAAACATATGTGGACCGTGGCTTTAACCTTCCTCCTCTTTTTCCTCTTCGCCATCATGTTTTCTGTCACTGTCACCATTATTAAGGTAAGATTCAATATTCAGTCATCTGGCTTTAATATCTGTGCAGCTTATTATCAAATATTGATATATCAAGGCATTTTAATTGATCTTGTTATTGTTTATAATTCAGGGGTTCCCAACCCTGGTCCTTGAGGAACACCATCCTGCATGTTTTAGTTGTTTCTCTGCCTCGACACACCTGATTTTAATGCATGCAGAACATGAGGAAGTAATTAAATCACTGAATCAGGTGTGTTGGAGCAGGGAACCAACTAAAACATGCAAAATGGTGTTCCTCTAGGACCAGGGTTGGGAACTAGTGGTTTAACAGTCAAGTAATAACGTTTCCTCTTCTTTTCCTTACAGACTAAGTGATTACAATCACATGGGAGATTCCATTTAACTCAATGTGGATTTAAATAAGATATTTTATGGCATTTGATGTTATTTGCTTCTAAGTGTAAAGAATCCGTTTTCTTTGCTTTTGTGTTTCTGACCTTGAGTCATGTGGAATTGGTTTATGATGCATTCAGTTATTTGTGTGTGTGTGTGTGTGTGTGTTTCAGTTTTGTATTTTAAGTGAAATGCACAATAATCAAGTTGAATAAATACATTTAAAAGAGCAGAAGTTATGTATTCATTAATAGCGTCACTTTCATTCACTCCTCATATAAATAGTGTTATTTTTATATGTAGTGATACGGGGTGTAAATATATGTTTTGATTATCAGTTATGAGTTAAGCTCATAAAATATGCACGTATTATGCAAATAACCTTGTTGTTTGGGCACCACCTCTCTCGGAGAGGAAAATCAGTCTCTATTTACCCCATAATAATGTAACTTGAACATGAGTTTTTTTTCCTCGTGTTTAAAGGCATCAAATCAATTAATACAAACAGAAAAGCCAAAACAATCACAAAATCAGTTGATTTTTATGTATTTTATTATAAAAATAATAATCTGTGATACATATGATGAAAAATATGCATGACAAAAGTTAACCGAACATCAAATGATGTTGAATCAAAGGTCTAATTGATTATGAAAATTAGTGAAAGTTAAAAGGCAGACTTAGGACTGGTTTGGTTAAAATTGTATCTAAGGTGACCTAAGTTTGTCTGATAAGTTTATTGTGATGTGATGTAAGATCACCAGAAAGGCACTGAAAAGTCTCTGTCCTACCAGGATGTACTGTAGATCCGTCGGACAGCTGCTAATGACACCAGCAGCGAGGCCTCAGATGTTCCGGTGACTGAGAGGCTGAAGTCTCCTCAAAGTTCACCTGCCATCGGTTGGAGGGACGAAGGTCCATGGTTGCTGGTTCTGGCAGTCAGCTGGGATTTACCACTCCTCTGCGGTGGGATTCTGATGGTTGCCTGGTAGACAGCTTTCGGAGCCCTGGGTTCTGGCGACGTTTAAATGCTGGGTTCTGTATCTTTCCGTTCCATCTCTCATCTTGAGACGTCTGCAGAAAGGTGTTTTTCGTTTGCTCAAAGTCGTGTGTTGAAGATGCTTCTTCTCGCTCTGAGGTCAAGTGCACAAGCGTGTTTCTTCTCTCTCAGTTCTCTGTGAAGTCTATGAGTTCCAGTGTGAAGTGAAGCTTTTGGAGTTTTTATTAAAAATGAAACTTCACTCTGTTTTAACAGAAGTGATTGGTCTAAACTCTTGGCCTTGTTTTATAAATCTAAAGTCCTTTTTCTGCCTCAGAAAGTTTCCTTTTAAAAGAAAAACTAAGACAAATGTATTATCTTAAAGAAAGGATTACTTAAAACACATTTCTCATGAATAAACATTCAAAATATGACATATTTAGAATTAAACTTAAAACATGCAATGTTTTAACAGAGGTGTTGCTGTTGACTGTCCATCTTTCTTCACAAGCAAAAGGGTTCTTATGGTGTTATCTTCATGGGAACGAGAGTTTGGGAGTATTACTTTTCGATAAGGCAAGATCTCAAACGTAGCAAGTTCGGATGTTTTAGAAACTCCGAGGTCAGTTGAACAAAAGCTCTCATTAAAACGATCTCTCAGTTTCATGGAAATGAGTTCATATTGGGTTAGTGAGGTTAACACAATAACTTTTTTTTTTAACTTTAGTGTCAACTTAAGAAGTTTGTGAGCTAAGCTGAATATTTGTAAAACGATATCTGTTCAATAAAACACAAGAATGATGTTTGTTTGAGGGGTAGTGTCCCCTACACACACACACACACATACATATATATATATATATATATATATAT